GGAGGCAGAGGGTCTATGCAAATTAAAGGCCAGTCCGTGCTGCATAGCAAATTGCAAGCCAGAGGCTGCTGTACTTACGTGAGAAGAATTTAGAAAAGGGTCGGATGTGAGCTGAGGCTCCGGGCCTGGACAGTGACCGTTTAGCAAGGTGAAAGCAGCAGGGGGTTGTGGGTAACAGTCTCTGCTTCCACAGAGGACCCAGCTCCTCAGGAGAGAGGAGACAGATTCAAACCCTCTTCAGAGCCCTTGGGGAAGGAAGCAGAGTGCAGGGCAGTCCCATCTACCCAGTGCCTCCAGAACAGATGCATGCAGGCCAGAGCGTCTGCTGTAAGCCAGGTCAAGTGCAGGGTGTGGGAGACAGCCTTCTCAGGGAACAGCCTTCATTCCTAGCCCATCTTTAAGGGCCCACTGCAACCTTGCCAGTAGACAAGGAATGAGGACATCACCCTTTTCCCTTTCTCCCTCTTGCCTAATGGAGGCCTCGGTCATGATTCCCAGTCTCTGCTCTGGATGGAGGGAGGGATACGTGGAGAAAGCTCTGTGTGAGGGAATCGGATCTATTGTAACCTGCGTTACAGACAGTTGTGAGCTGTCCTGTGGGTGCTGACATGGTGGAGTCCTTCCCGGTGGAGTCCCTTGCTTTCATTCTCCCTACTCCCAAATGTCCAGAAGTAACACATTTAAAACATGAACATCTTGCCAAACCTGGTGACCCATACCTGTAATCCCAGCACTGAGGAGGCTGAGAGAAGGATTTCTGCAAGTTTGGGGCCAGCCTGGGCTACATAGCAAGTTCTGTTCTGAGCTAGGGCTACGGAATGAGACCTTGTCTTAAAAACAAATAATGCTTCAAACCAGGTGTGATGTCATGTGCCAATAATTTTAGCATTTAGGAGGCAGAGTTCAAGAGTTCAAGGCCAGCCTGAGCTACAAAACAAGTTCAAGGCCAGCCAACGTGTATTACTTGAGGCCCTGTCTTAAAACAACAACAGGGGCTGGAGAGACTGCTCGGCAGTTAAAAGCATGTCTGCTCTTCCAGAGGGTTAGAGTTGGATTCTCAGCACCCAAGGTGGGAGGCTCACAACTCCAGCTCTAGAGGATCCAATGCCCTTTTCTGGCCTCTCAGGACTCCCACACATGGCACACAAAGACATAATAAAAATAAAACTCAATCTTTAAAAAACATAACCAGCTGGGCGGTGGTGGTGCATGCCTTTAATCCCAGCACTCTTTTTTAGACAAAAAGAGAAGAAATGTGGTGGTATTGTGTTCCAAAATATTGTGTACCTTAATAAACTTATTAAAAAGCTTACTAAAAAAGGCAGAGGCAGGTAGATCTCTGAATTCAAGGCCAGCCTGGTCTCCAGAGTGAGTTCCAGGACAGCCAGGGCTACACAGTGAAACCCTGTCTTGAAAAAAATAAATAAAAATAAATAAAAACAAACAAAACAACAACAAAAAAACCCACAGCAACCAGGGCTACATAGAGAAACCCTATCTTGAAAAATAAAATTTAAAAAAAAAAACACAACAAACAAAACATCAAGAATGTTTCAAACCAGGCTTTTAAGTGAGGCATGGGGACACATGCCTATAATCCTAGTACTCGGCAGCCAGAGGGAGGAGGGTTAGGAGTTCAAGGCCAGTTTGGGCTACATAGCAAATTTGAGGCCAACCTGAGCTACATGAGACCCTGCCTCAAGACAAACAACAACCAATAAGAATGTTCCGATGAGGTGATGGCACACACCTACATCTCAACATTCAAGAGGCTACGCCAGGAGGATTGCTGGGAGCTCAGATCAGCCTGGGCTACAAATCAAGTACAAACCAAGCCCAAGCTAGGCCCCATTTCTCTCTCTTCTTGCTGCCTGCGGATCTAGATGCAGAACTCTCAGGTCCTTCTCCAGTACTGTGTTGGCCTGCATGCTGACGTGCTCCTGCCGTGATGACGATGGACTGAACCTCTGAAACTGTGAGCCAGCCTCCGTTAAATGCTTTCCTTTATAAGAGTTGCCATAGTCGTGGTGTCTCTTCACAGCAATAGAACACTGACTAAGACAGTTAGGGTTTATCTGACTGGCCAACTAGAACCTTCAAGAGCATGGCTCCTGGGGCTGGAGAGATGGCTCAGTGCTTAAGAGCACTGGCTGCTCCTCCAAAGGACCTGGGTTTAATTCCCAGCACCCACATGACAGCTCACAACTGCCTGTAACTCAGGTTACAATAGATCTGATTCCCTCATACAGACGTGTACGCAGGCCAAATACTAACACACACAAAAATTAAAAATAAATTTACAACTAAATAACAATTATTGAAACAACAACAATAATATGGCTCACCTATAAAAGAGGGCCCAGGGGGCTGGAGAGATGGCTCAGAGGTTAAGAGCACTTACTGCTCTTCCAGAGGTCCTGAGTTCAATTCCCAGCAACCACATGGTGGCCCTCAACCATCTGTAATGAGATCTGGTGCCCTCTTCTGGCCTGCAGTCATACATGCTGTATACATAATAAATAAATCTTTAAAAAAGAGGGCCCAGGTTTGGGGGGAGGAGGAGTCTAAAGCTTGGGAGCAGCTCCCTGAGGTAGGAATCATTGGACAAACTGGAGAAGAGGGATACAAGTGACATCAGGATTAGCATTGGCAGAGCAGGATCCTGACTAGTCCCCTTCCATAAAGTGAGAAGGCTCCAGGGAGACCAGAAGCCCGGACTGCTGGGTACCTCTGCCTCAGAGGGAAAAGCTCACACCAGCCACACCTTGCCCCTGCAGCATCACAGGCCCCGTAACCTTCTTATAGGTTTCCAGGCTTCCCTCTCCACAGCCCTGGAAGATCTGAAGGAGGGGAACTACGGGCCCCACACTTGAGGGGTCTCTGCTCCAGAGTCTTTATGGGACCTGGGTCTATAGGGCCGCATAGAAGAAGAGTCTCACATAACGTAGACAAGGGTCCCTTTAAGAACCAAAGCTTTGGCTGGACATGATGATGCATGCCTTTAGTCCCAGCCCTTGGGAGGCAGAGGCAAGAGGATCTCTGTGAGTTTGAGGCCAGCCTGGTCTACAGAGTGAGTTCCAGGACAGACTCCAAAGCTACACAGATGCACAGAGAAATTCTGTCTCAAAAACAAAACAAAACAAAACAAAAAGAACCAAAGTTTAACTAGATGCCAGAGACAGTGGTGCATGCTATAATCCCAGCGTTCCAAAGGCTGAGGCACCAAGAGAAGGACCCTGGCCTCAAGGCCATCCTGGGCTATATAGTGACTTCCAGGACAGCCTGGGCTACAGAGTGACAACTTGTCTCAAAACAAACAAACAAACAAACACACACGTGTAATCCCAGCAGTCAGGAGCTACAGAGGGACTTCCGGTCTGTCCCTAGCTCAGGAAGGAAAGGGGAAGGGAGAAGAGGAACCAGAGCATAGCTTGGCATGGTGGCACACATCTGTAATGCCAGCACTTGGGAGGCTGAGGAGGAGTTACAAATTCGAGGTTGCCTCATCAAGATACCATCTATCTCAACACACACACACACACACACACACACACACACACACACACACACACACACACGTAAATGGAGGTGGAGTTTTCTGTCCTGACCGGTCCCAAATAAACAAATATATTAATTACAAATGCTCGGCCAAATAGCTCAGGCTTAT